GGGCCGGGCAGAGGCGCAGGCCGTGACGAGGCGGGAAGGAACCGCCGCTCCCTCCCGTGGAGCCACCTTAAGACGCCTGCGCACTCCAGCCTGCGCCAAGCCACCTTAAGCAGCGGCGCGGGCTCTGAAAGCTCGCCCGCGATTGGGCGCGCGCCCAAGCGACCGATGTAAGCGGGCGAGTGATTGGCGAAAAGCGGGTTCGGCCGTTGTCGCGGCAACCAGGTGTGCGCTGCCCCGGGCCGGAGCGCCTCGAGTCGGGGGGCAGGTAGGGCCGCCCCCGGCACGGGCCGCGCCGGGCACCTGGGCCCGCACCGGGGCCCGGACCGTCTCACCGGGCTCCGCGCCGCCGCATCTGGGTCCCAGCCTCCCTTCCCGGCGTGCCCCGCGCCGCCCCTCACCGGTAACGGCGTTCCCGGCATGCACCGCTGCCCGCCGCGGCCGGTGGAGGCGCCTGGCGCGGCCTGGTCCCGCTGAGTGCACGAGGCCCTTTGCCCCCTCCGCAGTACCCTGGGGTGATGCCTCCTTCCCCCTCAGCCTCCCCTGCCGCAGGGATGGAGGCCCCGGCCCTGCTGCGAGCCCCACGGGGCTGCAGACGTCCCCGAATCACCCGTGGGGAAGAGCAGGTTGGCGGCTGCGGTTGTGGCACCGCGGCTCTGTGGAAACATCCAAGCAGTTCTTTGAGGCTCTGCGTGTTAACGTCAGTGGTTGGTGTTTCAGACACAGAATGGTGACACCACAGGGTCGTTACGGTTGACATGCCCCGGCCATAGCTCTGTAACATGGGTCCCCGCTGCAAGACCCTCCGCTCGGATGCACTTGGACACTCAGAAGGAAAACAAGGTACATGAGTGAACAGAAACACTTCAACAACCATTTCATGGCTGAAGAAGAAACCAAACCGTGGAATTGTTTTTCTTTCAAAGCAGAACAAAGATTCATTGATGAAACCAATCATAGGAGGTGACATCCAGATCAATCCATATCCATCCGGGGCAGTTAAGCCAACCCAAGGGAAAATGACCAAGGGATTGAGAAATGTCATAAAATCATAACCTTCCAGTTCCCCAGGCAGTGGCAAGTCCGTTCCCCTGCTCTTGTAGCCCTGACCACCCCTTGTCCTGCCAATGAGCACCACCAAAACGTGAGAGCCTTTTCTCTAGCAGTGTCTCTGACCTCTCCCCTGCTGACTGCAGCGCTGCTCGCTCTCCTCCCATGTCAGAAGCATGCCTACACTTCCACGGAGCTTGTATGTAAAATCTCCTTTTGCTGCACCATTGCAACTCCATGACTGGCCGTAATAACACAAGTCTGAAGAAAAAGAGGCATCGTTCTTTTTTTTTTCCCATTGTCTCTGAGGCACACTGCAATTTGAAAAAAAACTTGCAGTTTCTGCCTCAAAAATACTGCCAAGCCAAAGCCTCTGGGTCAAGGCCTGCGGAGGACGCTGCTGCTTGGGAGGCACTGGGCAGGTCGGGATCAGACTGAGCTCTCAGGAGTGAGGGGCACTGGGTACCTTCCTCGGCATGGGCACTGGGTACCTTCCTCAGCATGAAACAAGCTGCTAAAATGCCTGACTCTGTAAATGAGAACACGCCACCAAAGTTATTTAACTTCACTGAGTCACCCTTAAAGCCCATTCATTGACACTAAAAGTGCTTCAAAGTGCTTTTTTTTTTCCTTCTAAAATAAAACAGGGAAATTAAATGCAGAAATGACTGCAGATTTCTTGACTTAAATAAAGGCAAATATAACATTAATGCAGTAACTTACACATCTTAATATGAAAACTCGTGTTGCAATTACATGTTTCCTGTATCTTCATATTCAGATTTTTTTTTTCATTGTCTGTTCCTTTTAGATTTCAAGGCTTCCTCCGGTCCTTATAAATACCATACAGAGGTAGTCTTAGACTCAGAAAAAAAAGGATTTAATTCTCAATCAAAGAGATTTCAGTGTAACCGGGTAAGTAACAGTGTTTGAAGTTTATGTCTTTGTTTTGAGTTTTTTTTTTTTTTTTGCAACTCATAATGATCCTGTCTTGTAATCAAGAATAGCAGCTAAGTGTAGATTGAGGTTCTTAAATTGGCTTTCCAGTCACAACTGTTAATTGTATGGCAAAAATATTACTGGTTTAAACCTTGGAATTATCCCACATCTAGGACCCTCGTCTTTACCTTCTCCCCATCGGTCACCCACACAGGTTTGGCCTGGTCCCATTCCCAGTCTTGCAGGGCTCTCCAGGACACATACATATGTATTGCATCCCTCCTGAAATTCAGGAGCAAATTCAAAGAAATCACTAGAGTTAACTCAGCCTTATGCTTGTGTAATGTTAGCAGAATATGACTCCTCCCATCTTTTGATATTCTTTACCCTCATCCTTTCCTGGCTTGTAGGAATTAATCTGGTACGTCTGCTATCTGGCCAGCAGAGGGAAGCAGAAAGATACTGTAAAACCCTCACGCTTTCCCTTCCTGCTCTAGTGGGGTTTCTTTTTAAGTCCAGCCAGCAGTTGCAGGTGCCAAGGGCCTCCTGTGCTTCCTGGATCCAGCTTTCAACTACTTCCTTTGCTGGTAAAAAGAGGATGCCAATCCCTCCTGACAGTCTCCTGCTGTCTGGGAACTGTGTGGTAATGCCTAAACTCTGAAAATTAAGTGTATTCAAAATTTCTGTAACTTTGTGTACCAGGTAGGTAAAGTAGGTAAATCAGGGGTGTATTTGGCATCTTCCTTCTTTCTTCTTCTGCCTTTGGCATCTTTTCTTTCTTCTGCTTCCTTTGATCTCTTCCTCCTTGCTTGCCTCTCCCATCTCGGTGGTATCAGGAGTATATTATCTCAGGATTGAATAACAGCAATCAAGGACGTAAAGGACAAAAGATGAGGGAAAATGATCAAGGTAGAGAAGTTGCTTAAATACCTTCTGTAGGCGCCATCAGTCTGTCTGGTCAGCTTCCAGGAGTTCCAGATGACCTGATGCTAAGTTCTGACTAAAAGAGGAACAGCGTAGTCTCCAGGTAGCTTCACAAAGCACTCCCTTCCCTTTGAGAATTTCCTGCTTGAAGGGCAGAGCAGGCAGAAAGCCAAACCACAAGCTACACAAGGGCTTGGCTGATGCTTTCTTAAGCTTTATCCCTAGAGAAAAGTTACTGCACCAGGTAGAGGAGGGGAAGTATTAGTTCCATTAACACCACTTTTCTGGGGCTGCTTAGTTTCCTCCACCAAAACCACTTGACTCTTCAGCATAACCCTTTTTGGAGCACATTCCTTTAGTAGGGTAGTCAGGGATAAATGCCAGTACCTGAAGTTTATCCACTTGTAATTTAAGCAATATAAAGAGCTTATTTGCTTCTCACTGTCTGACCTGGAATACCTAACAGGTGAGTTGACCCGCTTTTGTAATTGTGCCAGTTTAGCACTGTACCCACACAGTCCTGTGGCTACCAGAACACTGGAGTCTGCGAGGTACTTCTGGTGCAATTGCTTCGTACCCAGCGCCCTTTTGTATTTGCTGGAATAAATTTCAAAGCATTCAAAGCACAAATTGATGT